TGTCTGTAAAGTGCCGGAAAATCAAATTACAGCAGGTATTCAGGCCAGGGGAAGTTCTGCTACTCTGGATATTATGAAGGAAAATCCTAAGACTGGAACATAATTGAACAGTCATTTTCTGAACAGTAAAATTATTTGATTGAGGTGGTATCCTTTCCTGCCCTTTCTTGGAACACACTCAGTCACATTAGTGGGSCTTTTTTGTGCCTAAATGGCATGATTTTGAGTTGTAAAATGTGATTATTCATACTGGAATAATAATGTGAGGAATATAAAACTATTTAGTCCTTAAAGCTGATCAGCTTATCAGTGTCCAACACAAAGGGCTCAGAAATCAGATATCCGAACAAGGCAAATGTGTTAAAGTGGTGCTCAGRGATGCTGTGGGGACAGGAGGCTCTGGACTAATCTCTGCAAAAATGAGATTTTKTCCTGGTTTTAGTAAAGTACATCAGGCAGGAAAGCCAGTGTTCCTGGCTCCTTTGTTTCCCTGTTTTCATCTGCTTCTTGTTTCCTGGGAGAGCTGCACTTTCTCCCGCACCTACTTCTACCACGGTCTCCCTCCATCTCATCTTTCACCCCATCCCTCCCCTTCCTTTTCCATTGGCTGCTACTTCTGTTCCCTTAACAGCAGTTTCAGGGCATGTGCTGTCACTTGAGGGTCCCTCAAACGCCACATCTGTTGGTATTTACACTGCTTTTGAATCAAATGTTGGTTTTTTCAGCTTCCCCCTCACATATGTGAAGGAAGGAAAGCAGGAAACAGCAGGGAGCACTCGCATTGCTGGACCCCAAATTCACTCTTCACATGAAGAAGGAAACAGGTCAGCACTGGGTTCTGGTGACACCAAACAGCATGCAGGGTATGGAAGGGGCTTAGATGCAAAGTCAATCCCTTGTCCCAGTCCCATCACTTTCCTGCCCCCCACAGCTCCAAAGCAAAAGGTTTTGCTTTTTACTTTCAGAAAGTTTCGGCTGGAGTTTAGGGAGAGAAGAGSAACAGTTTAACAAATCATGACTCTAAAATAAATTATGCTTGAATCAAATAAATGCTATATAAATATTCCAAATATTATTACAAGAAAAACTAGAATTAGTTATTCTTTACATATAAAAGAAAGCTTGTTAGGTCATTGCTATAGCATTGCTATCATTAACATTGCTTTTAATGGTAGAGTGAAAAATGAGTTAAGAACCTGRTGGATTCACATTTTTTTCTCATTTTCCCTACTTCTGTTTCACTGGTAGTCTCCATCTATCCTCATCACTTCTGCTCATCCATTTAAGTAAGAGGAAAAAAGCCAGAAAGTCTCCATCAGCTGCAAAAATAGATAAGAGTGTTTAGCTGCAAAGTTCAAATCACCATTTCAATWTTATCTAATTTCTCACTGAAGGTATGAAGTTTTAGTAGTGTCACAGAGTGGTAAATTTCCTGAACTAGTTCTCAGGAAATTCCAAAGGAAACAATACATATGCTCTGTACAGGAATAATTTAAAGGAAAAAGAAAAAAAAATGAAAAACAAAGATGCAGCCTTGTTTTCTCTATTGCCTCACAGTGGATCAAACAGACAACAATTCCTAGACATATGAAAATATATAGAGTATATCTTAGAGTGAGTGAGATAATCCACTGCTGTAGGTGCTAAAGAGATGCCAAAGAAAAAAAAACTGGCTTATATCCTTAAAAAATATCTCCAAYATTCTTTTCCTAGACAGCAAAGTAATTTTCTTAAGTGTGTGTTATTCTGATTAGTAATCAAAAATGACTGAACTCTGGACAACAGCCTAATTTTGAACTGCTTCACATTTTCTGTCCAAGATAACAGGGAACATGACTGGTGYCATTAGAATATGTGTTTTCACAAATCATCCAGACCTGTATTTCTCCTGTTATGAATGAGAATTTAAACCAGCACTTTCAAATTTCGGCCAAACACAAATGCTGAGATTTACAGGAGAAACACTGTCTTTTCAGTGTGTGAAAAGGCTAAGGAGTTTTTTGAAATTTGGATAAATTTTAAGGGCACTTCAGACATCCTGAGTTTAAAGTGTATCAAATTTTCACATTACTTTAATAAATCATACCAATTATCGCACCAATATGTAAATTTTTAGCTGTTTTGATTAAGCAAGTAGAAGGCTGGCATTTTTTTCAGATACTATCTTCTATTGAAAGAATATAATAAAGGAGGCCAAGATTAAGTTTCATCTAATATCTCTTTTGGATATTCACATTTCAAAGCATCTCATAAAAATTGATTCTTTTTAACTTTTTTTTAGAAGAGATGAAGTGTCCAAATGCTCACTATGAGAMAGTTCTCTCAGGTAGTCATATACATTTTCTTACTGACTCATTAACACATTATTCTCTGAAAGCACAGGTGTTGATTCTGGTGATGTTCTGGTGGTGGGCAAACCTAGCTGAAGAGTTTTTGYCTTGTAACAGCTGGATTTGTTTACTCATCTGAATTCAAATTAATTTTAAAAATCCGAGGAAGATCCAACCCCAAAGCATAACCAGGAGTTTGGTGGGAGGTGGCAGGTTTTATATTTAGAAGTAAATTACCTGCTGCAGTACCAGATAAACTGGCTGTGCTGCATTGCAGGAGTCAAGCAGCCAGTGCCCCACAGATTTGATAGCAGAAACCTGCCTTTCACATCTAGGTTGTAATTTGATTTTGTCCTATGTTGATGATGAAAGCTTAGCTCTGTACAAGATGTTGATGATATCAATTATCAGTAGRTAGGATTTCATATCACCAAGAAATAGCTACAGTTATTAATGATGTATCTTTCATCACGATGGATTAAGTAGACACCAAATGGCCACCACAGGAAGGAGTAGGAGATTCCATTTATCACTAGTTGTGGATTCCCCCAACCAAAAGGAAAGTATAGCATGAATAGCAGATTTCTGTCTCCTTCTTACACAACCAGCTTTTAAAATAGTTCTTAAGTGTTTTTTTTTAATCTCCTGTATTTCAGGTGGTAACTCTGCTGTGTTTCCATCATTGTATATGACTTCTCAGTATTAGGGTTTAGAACTGCAGCTCTTCAGTGGTACATCAAATGTTGCAAGAAATTCTAGCAAATACATTCTATGTGAATGAAAATCTTCTGGAAATAATCAGAATCTCAGAAGAAAGGGACTGGTACCACTAAAAACAATGGGAAAGGCATTACAAGTGGCAGGTTGATAATAACCTACTAATTCCATTGCTAGGGTTATGCCCTGGACACAAATGGCTTGGGGAATTAAACAGCACTGTTTAATATGTTCTGCACATTGAGACCAAATTATCCTTTGGTACAAATTTCATGGAAATGAAGGGACTTACTCTGTTCATTAACCTATATTACTGTGTTGGCTTTTCCACCACAGGGTGTGTGCTGGGAGAACCATCTCCAATTACCTGTGCTGCCTTTTCCTTCAGAGATCAGAGAGATTTGTCCCAGTGTTCAGTCCTCAGCGTGGGTGTCATTTTCCAGGGTTTGTGCACATTTTTTCACTACCATTACACATTCCCGTTGAATAGCAGGAATTGCTGATAATTATCCTCTTCATTAATGTGGCTATTGSAGAGAAATTTTTAAACTTGGTCAACTGCTTAGTCTGTACACTTGATTCTTATATACTTGTGTAGCCTTTCTGTTGATTGCACTGCAGGCCCCAGTCACAGGAAAGCCCAGGCTCCTCTCTTGGGAAGTGCAGCCTGTATGAAAATCAACTAAAATCCACTGAAATATTAAATCGAAGTCGCATTTATTTACCAGTTGCAACACTGCCATTATTGCACTGCATTTGAAATGCTTTTCCACAGCGATGGCCCCAGCGTGAAAGGTGAAATATAAACCTCAGTTCTCTCACCAGGATTATTACATTTAGAGGTTGTGTGGTTACATGTCCTCAACTGAAGTGAAACAAATATAAGGATCTTGCACTTGCAGCTTTCAACCTAGTGTATTTTAGTTGGCTACCACAAAACACATCAGGCTGTGCTATAACAGCCTTTTTCTCAAGTCCTGCTGCCGTTCTGATACATCAGCTTTTCTTTGCAATGCACTAAAATATTGTCACCATTCGTTTATAGACCTTTTCAGCAAGAAAAACACCTGATTCAGCAGGTGTCTTAGGTATGCAAGGAGCATTTCAATGGGTGTGGAGCAGCTGCTCCCAGTGGGACAAAGGCAGCCAGAGGATGGAGAGCGCTGTTCCCGAGGATTAGAAGGGTTCCCGAGGATTAGAGGGGCTCCCGATGTCTGCTGAGCCAGACCCGACCCTTCCCCAGCTCGGAACACCCTGTGTAAAAAGCACCTCGGCTTGGGCAGCCCAAGGCCTAAGCGCTGTCAGTGGAAAAAACATGGATGTGTCACCGATCCTAGCGACCGATTATTTTATCATCGCTAGAGTTACAGACAGCAGGTGTACACGGGTGTTTTGGAAGCGTGTCTGTCGCTGCCGCAAGGTTCGTGTTTGTGAGGGATCACCGCAAAGCCGCAGCGCTGCTGTTTGCCGGGCATCCCACACGTKCCTCGTTTGAACTGCGGTCCGGTGTTCACCCCGGCTTTTCCTGCAGCCGGGAAGGACCCGCAGCCCCTCGGGCAGTGGTGTCCAACCCGATCCCGGGTGCAGCCGGGTGTGCGTGGGGTTCCTCCCGGTTCCCGCTCCCGGGGCCGGCCCTGAGGGGGCGACACCGCCACTGAGCTCCCGCGCCGCCAGGGGGCGCTGCGGCGGCGGCAGTGGTGGGCGTGGCCTCGGTGAAGGGGGCGGGGCCCGAGCTCACGTCCGAGTTCCCAGGGCGACGGGGCGGTCGCGCCGTGACGTCACGGTGCTCCCCGGTGACGTCAGGCGGGCCCATGCGCCGTGGTCCGCGGCGATTCTGTGTGACGTCACGGGCCCGGCGGTGACGCGCCGGCGGCGCTGGGAGCGGGCCGGGACCGCGCTCGCCGCCCGCCCCTCGCACTACGGGTCGCGGCTGGGGCCGCCCCGGCGGCGGGGACGCGGCCGCCCCCGGCCCCGCCCTCGCCCCGGCGCTCCGGCCCAAGATGGCGGCGCTGAGCAGCGGCGGCAGCGCTGAGGGGGCCTCGCTCTTCAACGGGGACATGGAGCCCGAGCCGCCCGCGCTCGCCGCCGGCTACGCGGGGGGCGGCAGCGGGGACCCGGCCATCCCGGAGGAGGTGAGGCCACGCGGCGGCGGTCCGCCTCCGGGGCTCGGGCCCGGCCGTGCCGGGGGCGGCCCGTGCCGGCGGGGGCAGGSAGCGGGGGCCGCGCTGGGGAGGGTGCGGGTCCTGGCCGGGGCTCCTCCGCACCCCGGCTCGGTGCCCCTGCGGCCGCGGGTGCCGTGTCCGGCGAAGGGTTTATGTGGGGGTTTGCCATCTGTTTTTTCCCCCGATGGTTTTTGAAACGCTCGAAAATGCATTTTAAACCCGAGGTTGGGTTCGGTTCGCTTTGTGGWCGTGCCTTTTGCGGACGTTTCTGCACAAAGCGTCTTAGGAAATGTTAACGGACAGGGCACCGTGGAGGCARTGAGGATGTCAGGCCTCTGGTTGGTGTCTTTCTTATATACTTCCTGTGTTTTTGGGGCTTATTACTTAACTTCCCAATCCCACGGGGAGCGAGCGGTACTACCTGTTTTGCTGGGGTTGAAGCGTGAGTTGCGAACGCTTCTGAAATGTTTTCCGAACGGGGAATAAACTGTGCCGTAACAACACACGGTGCTTCGCAGATTCAGGCACTGTAGGCATCCGAGCCAGACCAAATTGCCAGATGCCATGCCTCAAGTCTGTTCTGGAGGTAAATACAGATGTCAGGAGCTCTGCTGTTTTGTTCTGAGCCGTACTCGCTGGGGATCGTTTCAGCTCAGCTTTTCCTGGCGTGTCTGTGCAATTGGTTCACGTCCTCTCATCTCTGAGCAGCCTTGAGGTCCTATGAGGAGCCAAGCCCACCTGGGAATCTTTACTTTTGGCCCTCTCCAGCAGGGAAAATGAGCTGGCTTGGATCAGCTGCTCTCAGAGGGGTCCAATTTGATTCCCAGCTCCCCAAAGACTGGGGGTTTATCCATTTTATTTATTAATAGCATGCTGGGTTATAGTGGTATTARTGAGTTGAGAAGTTTGAGAAGCACTGGAGTTCAATGCTGTGTAGATGACCAGAAAGGAGAAATAGGAAAACAGTCTGTTCCTATGGATGTTTGCAAGAGATGAGGTTGATCCCTCATCTGAAAGAGTTCCTGACWTTCTTACTTGCTGAAGGCAGGCAAAATTCAGCAGTACACATCTATTTTACACCTGCCCAGCAGGGTGATTAAACGCCTTGAGTAATGCYGGTCCAGTCTGAACTTTCCTGAGTAAGGAGAAACTCTCAGCTGGTTGAGAAACCCAAACACCTGAAGAGTGGGATTTAATAAATGCATGCTTTTAGCAGCAAAGCGAGGTTAAAAAGWTTCTGAATTTCTTTCTTCCCTTAAAAAAAAATCTATGGAATTCATCTTATATTGTGGCCTTCAAAACAAGAACATCAGTACAGCAGAGCTGCTTAGTTAAACTAAGAGTATAAAAAGTATAAGAGAAAAGAGAGGGAAAAGCAGTTGTGGRAGGCAAGCATTTTTTAAAAAACAAATTTTCATACTAAAGGGGATGTTTATGAAACTTCTCTAAGTCACTTGAACTTCCAAAATGTTTTAGCCTGTGTCAGTCATTAGATTTGATTCCAGATGGTAAATTACATTGTGTGGCTGCTTCTGCTGCCATCCTGAATACCTTCCCTGGATGAGGCAGAGAGCCAAGTGGTCCAGCTCATGGAACACCTGCCAACCAGAAAGGTTGGTATGTTTCTGGTATGGGTKTAAGTATTTAGGAATTTTATATGGACAGTCTTGTATTATTTAAAAGCAAACTTCTTATGCATTGGAAATACTGCAACACACAGGTCTCAAGGCARAGCTGCTTGTAGAGTTTGTGTTTTCTGATGTGGTTTTGTTCTGTAGTTGGTTCTTCCTCAGGTTGTAGGTAATTCAGTTTTGTTTACTGTATGAGTACACCTATTCACCTAAACCTGTACCTTAATGAAGTTCAAGCCCAAAAATTGCTGACAAAGTTAAAATGGAAACTATCCTAAATATAAAACAAGCCAACTTAGAGTGTAATGCAAGTTCAAAGTGACATAAGTCAGAAAACAATGAACTTGTAACTGACTCATGGCTGTAATGTAAGTACATGTTCTAGTGTTTTGTTTCATTGCTTCAAGACAAGGTAAATCTAAGTTTTTTAATTTAATTTAAAAGTTATCTTGCTGTGGAAGCCTGTCAAGGAGCATAACCTTATTTAGTTAAGGAGATACCTGAAAAGGTTTCAGTTCCTGTAGTCTTTAGGGAARTACAGTCCTGATTTCCAGAAGGCAAACCTTCAGTCCTGCACTCAGTTTCTAGCTTTAAAAGCAGAACAGACAAGAATTCCTGGCAGGTGTTGAAATTGTCTTGCAGACACTTGTATGTTAGAGTCSTCCTGTAGAGGAGGTGTTCTGTATTGAGATTGTAATCGAGTGCTCTGTGTTGGTTGCAGCTACATCAGTGTCCCTTATGAATTCTCAAGGCTTGGGGCTTTGAAAAGAAAATTTAAGCCATGTTGWTCAACTCATGACCAGTTCTCAGTCAAATAGTGAATTTATGTCTTTAGGAATTGCTTTGGTAGCTTTAAGTGCCCATACTAAAGATGTTCTAATAATGAGTATTGTAGCTCTTCCAATAAATGGTATAGTAATTGCTAAACCTTGTTTTCCCCTATATTAAAATTCAAGGTTGGTAAGGGTAGTTGCCCTTGCACTCATAGAGAAGGTGTAGGAAATGGGGACTTCTTGGAGACAGAAGGATTTGGAAAGGGTAGGGGCAAGTGCATTTAGCAGAAATTTTTTCCTCCTCCTCTCASTGTTTGGTTGGTGGTGCTGGGAGGCCTCGAGCTGGCGTCCGCAGGCACAGAGGTTGGCTTCTTCCCCGGATGAGTTCTCGGGACAAGAGTTTGTTTGGATGGAAGGTTTTCAGAGCATTACAGGGTTGTTGATATAGTAAGGAGTGTGTGACAGCTGGGAGGAAAGGTTCTGCTCTTGTTGCTAGAGATTATTTACACCAATATTAAATAATTCAAATGGGATTTTCTGTACTCGGAGCTTTGTGCCCTGAACTGCTCTTTGTAAGACAAAAATTRCTTTGAAGGCTGTGAAGTGAGGGCCTGAGCTGCTGGATGGTCGTTTTCTAGGCAGCAACCCTGGAATTTATCCTACATGAATATTAGTTATAAATTTGAAACCTTAATACTACGAAACAGGTTTAAGAATAAAATGGAGARTGGATGAAAAGATAGATAAAATGAAGATAGAATGAAAAGTTCACCTCTAACCTTACAATATGAAGTAAGTGATGGGTTCTCATAAGGTAATGTAGGTACRTAAAGTGAAATTGGGGTTGATTTTGTTGCAGTAACATGTAGAGAACCTATGGTGCTGGGTATTAAAACAATTTTCCTTTAGAGATTCTATTTCTCTAAAGAGTTTACAAACAAATGTGCTCCTTATTTGGAAATTTGAAAGCAAATGAGTGGTTTTTTGCTTCATTGCTTTTGTAGGTTTGGAAATACATTTTACGTTCAATCTCAGTTATGTTTCCTTGCATTTATATTTGTTGATTGGGCTAACTTCATAGTCTGTGAATGACATCCTATTTAATTGTGAGGAAAAGTTAAACTGGAGCTGGATGTGAAGCATTTTGTAGCTAATATTCTGCAGTAGTATATCTTCTTAAAAGATAAGTGAAATAACAGTTTCTTTTACATAGCATGGGAAAGGCCGTGGCTGATTACTGTGTCTGGCTTTGGGTCACAGCTTCAAGAAATGCCTGGCCCAGCTGAGGGGAGTCTGGAGCAGAATGCTAGCAATGATGTAAAGCCTGGAAGGTCAGAGCTTTGAGGAAAGACTCAATAAAATCTGAAGTTGTTTAAAAAAGAAATGGAAATTTTCAAACCTGATGCAAAGAAGAATGCAAATAACTTGTTTGTCAGGCTCGTGGTGATTACTGCCAGAAGTAGTGAGTTGAAGTGGTAGCAGGTAGAGGAGATGGTTCCATGTTACTATGAAATGTTTTTCTTTGTGGCTAAGAATAGTGAAGCATGAAAATAGGCTTTYTGAACTTATTTATAAAATGTTCATTAATAGACTGCTGCCTCAACAGGCAAACGTGTCAGGAGTGATGGGAGAAAGTTGATCCAGGTGTAAAAAAAGACAATCACTTTGGTAACCTCTCATATTTTTTTTTCCTTGGGTTTTTTTATGGTTTATTTGTGTCAAAGTAGATCAAACATTAGAACACAACCTTGAAATGCTTAGGTTTAGTGGGGATAGCAGAGATTTCTGCTTATGATGTTTTTCCCAAAAAGGAATACARCTAACAGCTGTGTCCTGTGGTAGCTTGTTTGATTGCACAAAACTTGCTTAATAGAGTGGTGCCTTCTTATGGAAAGTTGTGATGTCTTGGGGGGCTTGTTTATCTCTGTGGATATCCACAAACTGTTTAGGTACAAAATGTTTAGTACTGTTTTGTTTTTTCGTTTTTGATTTTTTTGGGGTTTTTTTTTGTTTGTTGGTTTGGTTTGGCTTTCATTAGTTTTTTTGTTTTGGTTTTTTATTTATAGTCGTGCTTCTTAATTCCTATTTGTATTTTGCTGTAGTTGTTAAACTCAAAGACCTCTTATTTTTAAAGCTGTTCTAATAATACCCTTCTTGACACTTGTTCAGCCAGGACTGACAACTCTTTTGTTGCATGAAGTTAAAAATACTGTAGACCAAATGGGATTTGGTTTTTGGTTGTTTTTATTTGGTTGGGGATTTTTTAATGGAGATACCTTTTGATGGCAGCTGTCTTTAAACAGAAACTGATAACTTCACAGGTTTCCTTAAGGCTGCAATATTCCACTTTGTAACAAATCTGTAGTTCAGTTTAATTAGTTGTTATATCTGTAGGAAAATTTGACGGCATGAAATATTTTGGAGGGTATTTGATTTAGAAAGAAATCTCATTTTATTTGTACTTACAAGGGAAACAAAAGAAGGTTTAGATTGATAACGAAATTGCAAATTCTCTTCCAGTCCAGCCTTCCAAGGAAGCTGTTTCAGGTTTAGGGGAGGGGGTTTT